CCAAGGAGCTGTTCTGTAAATACTGTCCGACAAAGTTCAAAGTGTGTCATTATCTCTCGAATACTTGCAATTCTAGTAAGATCAGTAAAGAACTGTACCCTAAATCCACACGGATAAACTCATCCCGAGTTGTGACTCATGCCTTTATAGTCCACTTTTTTATCACTTACACTGAAGAGAGTCAGAGGAAAATGCAGAAATGCTTTGAAAGACATACAATGAGCTTCCACACCATCACCAGTTGGGTAAAGTTACCATGGCCACATTAGGGAATTGCTGGACTAATTACTGCCTGATGTGAGGAACCAGGTTAAACATCTGATGGATAAAATATCTACATAACAAAATATTGATTGGTGTCCTTGCTTGCAGCCCAACAGACACACCACAGATTAACAGACAGTATGGAAAAAAGTGTAAGAGGTTTACTCATTTTTAAGAAAACACATTCTAAAACAAAACTAAGTACCTATGTCAAAAATAATCTTCATTTTAGCCTAAAAACATATTCTTTCATGAATATAATAATATTGTCATTGTGAACTGGTTCTGTGAACCATTTTTGTGATAAGACATTTTTTGTGTTAGAAAAAAATACAAGTTTTTTTCGTATTATTTTTACACTGGTTAACTAAATTTAACTTTCTAATGTTTGTAAGCTTATTCAAAAAGTCATCAAAGATATGTGAATTAATATTTTCCTTCTATAGCATAATTATTGCCCTATTATGCCAGAAAATAGCTATGTGGCACCTACAATCAACCATTTATAGCCATGTAGCAGAACATTATGAATTCACTGTGGATTAATCTATGAAACATATATTTTCCTTTTATTTAAGAATAACTTCAAAATATTTTTTTAAGAACATAAATATGTTTATGAAATACTTTTCCTCTAGCCTGATTTCTCATGCAGTATAATCTCTGGCCTCCCACATCATAAACTGAAAACCTCTGCAAGCATTCTGAATTCTGCTGTTTGATAGGTTTTCATTTTATTTACTGCAGTATTATAATAACCATTTTAGCCTTATTGCGCATTATAATGCGTGATCCCGGACTGAATACTAGGGGCTGTAATTTAGACTCAGATTCTGCTGCCCTTTATAAAGCTCTTGAGCTGCACCCTTGTGAGTCGACGCATCAGCAGAATCCTTTGATTCAATTATAGCTTGGCATTTAGTTGTGGACTATGTATTATTCTATAAATAAACCATAACCAATGGTTTAAAGCAGCAATCATTTACAAGGAAAATGAAATGTGAAGCTCCAGGCTCTAGCTGAGTCTATTGGTTCACATAAGAAGAAAAATAACATTTCTTGTCTGGAAATGCAGCACAAGGACTGCTAGTTGACTACTGCTTCTTTCACATATAAACACAATGCAAAAGTGCGGATCAATTTTGAATTCTGTAGATGCGTTAAAATTGAACCTGAAACACATTATCATATAATGTTAACAAGCTTAAAGGATTACTTGATGTCATCCACTCATCAGTCTAACAAATAATTTTAATGGCGTTGACATCACCCTTTGAAGGAGAAGGTTGCTAACTAGCCTAAGCTGCTATGTATTTTTGCAAGCAGCTTCTATGCAAGCTAGGCTCTGCACTTTCATTGCACCTCGTTGACCATCAAAGACCAAGTAAATAAAAGAAGAAAGACACACAGAGGCTTCTCATTTTAACAAACATATTCATATTAGTCACCCTGTCTGTGACCTTTTTCCTATTTACTTCTTTATGCTCTTGTGTTTCCTTGTCAGATTACACTCCTTCATAGCATCGTTTGTAAACTGTATTTGGTTGTTTCTGGCGTAATGAGGCTGATCCCTTAGTAAGGCTTGTAGCTGTCATATTGAAAATGAGCAATACTCTTTAACAGATAAAGTTTAATCAAAATCAGTGTGGCAGGCAGAAGGCCAAGTTTACACTTAATGTTTTAGCACAACACAGTTTATGAAGCATATAGCCAAGATTATTTTGTTGAGACTAACAAATGCATATAGTACTAACATTTGATCTATAATCCTGCCCAGTACTCTAAGTCCAGGAGATGTATTTAACACATAGGTTAATAATAAAAGTAGAGTAATTTCACTTGTAAGCCCAACCAACAGTACCATTTTAAAGCTTTGCTTTTGGTGTTTTTTTTGTGGATGATATTTATGTTCTGAAACAGAAAAGAGAAAAGGATTTTTTTAATTATCTAAATGTGCTGAAATGGAATTACCTTGTTCTGCAACTTGCCATGACTACGGAGGAACAGCTGATCAAAAGCAACATTTCCTA